CTCTTTGACCAACTCACGCAATTGCGGGCGATGCGGCTCCTTTGATGACTTGTCCCGTTCCGGAAGAACGGACATCGCAGGCGCGTGCCGGATCACAGGCAATGTCGGCTCGCCCTCGCGGGCGGCGCTGGTCGGCTTTGCACTCGATGCGGCTTCGGGGTGCTCGGATCTGGCCTCCGATGAGACTGCTGTCTCGAGCACAGCCTTCTTGGCATCTGCACGGAGCTGATCTTCATACTGCTGGGTTAGGGCCTTTCGGTCCTGGCTGCCGAGCATGACCCACATGTCGGACGGGATATCGGGAGGCCTTTTGGATCCAGCCTTCCTACGGACGAGCCGAACCCCATCCCACACGTAGCCATCGGGTACTGGTGACCCATCGGGCATTATGCTTGGGTCGAATGCACCGCCTTTGTCAGGCACGACAGGCTTGATCTTCGCTTCGGATTTCTCCGATGCGGCGGGTTCCTCGATGTGGGCTTGCCCACGCTCCAACGGCACAGGATCATCTCGTGTCCTAGCATTGGCAACAGGTGGATGAGATGCAGGGTCTTTCAACAACCTCATCGGGAAGATGAACTCATCAGTCGGAAGCTCAATGCGCTTTGTTCGCTGTACCGTGAGGGACGCATGTTCGATATGGTAATCGAGCCCTGCTAGTTTTGCAACAAGGAACTCGCCTTTCCATGCGAACCCAGGCTGTATGTGGTACCCGAGAAACACGCCTTCATTTGATGTTGGCGAAGTCTTGCCTGCCTGATTGTCAGCTCGTGCAGGGTTGTTCCAGAACAGTACCTTTGCTCCAAAAGGTATCTCAGCTTCATCAAAGGTCTTGTTAAACCTGAGGTACCATGGCGAATCGTTTCCATTCAACTGTGGCAGGATGTTGGTCGCAACTGCATTGTGCTGGATAGCAAATGGCCACATCGACAGTGGGAACCCTGACTGAACAAGGTTCGCACGTGCTCCCTCCAACAGATGTCTGATTTCCCTTTCCACGAAAGATTTGGAAGAATCAACATATTCAATGGAGGTCTGATGACGGTACCCCAACTGCTCTATTGCGGCTTTCAATTCCCGGGAGTTATCGGTGTAGAGAACTTCAACCTCATCCCTACCGGAAATGAAATGCTGGATCCCTGCAACGGATTGCTCCGTGCTTTTGCTGGTCGATGGGTAAACGTACCTGAACTGCGTATGCACGTCCTTGATCACAAGAGCACACCATTCACCTTTGATACCTTGCTCGATGTTGGTCTTGAGGATCACATGATCAGCAATGATGTGATCTCCAAACGCTTTCGTTTCGAGCCTTCCCTGCCCGCCTTTCGATCTCGCATATGGGGCAAGCATCTTGGCACGTTGGCAAGTGCGGCAAAAGGGATTCTTCGGATAGTGTGCAAACAAGTGCTCTTTGGTACTCGCTTCGGCAACCAGATCTTCCTCTTTGCGGGATCTCACAAACCGCTCAACTTCATCGTCAGGATCATCACCTTCGTCGATGCCTTCGTCATGAACCGGTGCAGGGGCTGGCCTAGATGCTGCTACTGCACTCAACGATGGCTCAGCTTCACAACTAGAGTCCATGTATGGCACATGACCGTCAACCTTGAGCTGGATCAGAGCACCATCAGGGCGAACCATGGTTGGTGCCTTCCCGGATTCCCAATGAAAGGAATATCCTTGATCCAGACACTTCACACCCAGCGAAAGCACTGCGGGAGAACTCTCGAGGATGTAAGGCTGAGCAGGCTCACACAATGCATCGACATTGATGTCGGCGATTTCGGAAGCAGTGATGTTTCCGTTTGCAGTCACAAGGCGAATAGGCTGAGGGGCCTGTTTCCGAACTGCCTTGGATGCATTCCTCAGTGCAGCTTTGCTGATGAGGTCCTGCTCACTACCGGAATCAATAAGCCACACATCCTTTCCCTTTGGGGCAGGGGTGGCTGCCCTTGGCGCTTCGACATCCTTGCGAACATCGTGAGGCGGCATGGCAACTCTCAGGCACTCATCACACGATAGGCTTGAGATGGAATCGGATTCCACATCGCACATGAAACCACAAGCGGGCTGGGCTCCATTCTCCATGGCTTTGACTACGGCATTCAACTGGTTCGCGGCCTTGCGCGCTGCCTTGTTAGTCCCTTTGGTCGGCCTGGGGCAGTCCTTAGCACTTGGGAACATCCTATTGTACTGCCGTTCCTCATACTCAAGCTTGAAACCATCGCCTTCGGCGGGGATCTCATGCACATGAGCATTTGTGTCGAATGACACTCCGATTGGATCAATCGGCTTTGCGAACATGGCGTACCTGGTGCAGACTGCCGCGGCTTTAGCCTTGGGCTTAGGCTTAGGCGAATTTGCACGCTTCTTGGCCGCAGGATTTGCATTGGCCTCGTTGCTCGATGCCGCGGCGGCAGATTTGCCGCCCGTGGAGGCATGGCTAAACTTGCATTTGTCACCTCTAGTGCACTTCCCTTGGGCAAAGAAAGAACACGGTGCTTTCTCTCCTTTACCGCCTTTGGGGGAACTTGGCCTGCCACGGGTCGCGGAGCGTCCTCGCGGCTCCTTGCGGTGCGCGTAAGGGCAGTTTGCCCCCCTCGTGCACGAGCCCTTCTGGAAGTCAAAGCAGTACTTTTCCTCGGTGTCCTTCGGCTTAGGTGCGCTCTTTTTCTTGGGGTCCCTCTTTTCAGGGGCGGCAGCACCAGCCTTGGGCGTCGGGGCTTTACTGGCATTGACCTTGGACACGCGCTCTCGGTTCTCGCGGAGCCTATCCCTCTCGATTAGATCCCTCATGCAACGCATTAGGAAATCGTACGATTTGTTGGGATCATCATCACGGCAACGATCATATGTGTCAATGTCGTACCGCAACAGATGGCAGCTTCTCACTTGGCGAAGCAAGATGTCTTTCAACACCTTTTCTTCCGGCGGCCTTTTCATGCCGGCGATCACGGAATCCCAAGCGTTTAGGAAACGTTTGAGATCAATGATTCCTTCGCCGTGTCGCGAGACACGCAACAGGTCCTCCAAGGAGTAGAGGTTTCCGGCTTCTTCACTGGTCTTGAAATATTGGTCAAACATAAACAAGACCTGCCTTCCTCTCATGGCCTTTCCCTCCTTGGCACATTCTTCCTTTGCTGTTAAGATTCGCTGAGCCAGATCGCCCTTCGCTGAACGCGTGAGCGCTGCGAGAATCTTCGTGTCTAGGGTCACGAATTTTCCCGGTTCGCCGAGCTCCTCCAACAGCTTCTTCTTGTCCTCGCGATCGGACCAGACTTCCATGATCCAAGGCCAAGCCTCGTCTGGACGGTCAGATGCAGCGCGGACGTCCTCACGAACCGATGTCTTCCATTCACGGTACGTTTCAGGAGTTGGCATCTCCTTGAATCGCAACGTCTCGCTTTCGCGGGTTCTGGGCTTTTCATCGTTCGTGTGGCCTTTTACTAATTTCATCAACATCCTGGCGAATGCTTCATTGCCGAGGTTAGGCCCGAGGCCGTCACCTTCGTCTTCATCACCATCGCCATCGCCATCATCATCAGGCGGCGGACCGCCGGGAGGCTTACCACCCTGCTTGCGGTCAGTTGACATTGGCCCCTGAGAGAACTGCAGGGGTGGGACCGGTGCACTTGTTTTCACCGGGGATCGGCTGCTACCTGATGGCTTTTCAGCTGGTCCTTGCGGATCGCGAGCATCTGCGGGCAGTGCATCGCATTCGGCAGTTGGAATCACGCTAGGGGTATATTCATCCCCGTAACCGTCATAGGTAACAAGCGACCTCAACTTTTCCTTTGCATATTGAAACGGATGGGTCAACGGGTCCAACATTGACCTTTGGGACCGAGCTGACTTCATGTCGTCGGTCATCAACTCTGGTGAATCCTCTCGGGTATCACCTACCCCTTTGGGCTTCGATCCATCCTCGCGGAGGTCGTGTTGCTTCTGATACTTCTTCAGCTCATCGAGCTCGTCCTGCAGAAGCCCGTTTTGGTGGGCCATCATGTCAATCGTCCTGGCGTTTTTCGCTTCGACACGGGCTGTGTCATCAGCGTGCTTGGCAGCTTGCTCATGAAGGAGCTGCTGGGCTTCCGCCAGGGTGGATTCGATGGCTTGCCTAAACTCAGTTGTTTTGTGTCCCATTTCCGCTTCATGCAATGCTTGGGCATTTTCCTCACACACTTGGCTTATCCTAGCTTCAGCGAAGTTCACTTCTTGAATGAACTCATCGCTCACTCGCTGTTCGTATTCACGAATTCTATGCGACTGGGCTTGCACACATTCAGCGTAGTGTGCATGCAGCTGATTCTGTGCGACACGGAGCTCCTCACGGTTTTCCGCTTGCAAATGCGTGACAGCTGCTTGATGCAGGGCTTCGGCTTCAGACCTAATGGCTGCATCATTCCCAAAAGCAAAGATTGCGGTATTGTACAGTTGAAGGGAATTCATCAGGGTGCGGTTGTACTGCGCATTAGCGCTTGCTGCGAACATTCGCACACCGCCGCCGGTGGCGTTGTCGGAGCTAGCTCCGGCAGCATCCACAGGCATGTTGGATCCATCAACTGGCACAAGGGAACCGTCCATTGCTTAGAGCTAGGGGCCTACGGCTGATAACCTATAGATTCAAGGGTTACCGGTTTGGGGCCCAAAAGGAAACAACAAACCGTCCAAGTGCGCTGCTCGCACATTTTCACGCTTGAACAGCCACACTGCGGATGCAACGGGTGTAAAACCCCATATTGACCGATCAAATTCTTCAGCTTGTAACAGAATCTATTGTTCTCGCGTTTGAAGTGGAATGACCGGCTTGATCAACACCCTAAAAGAGGCATCATGCGAACGCCATACCCTCCCCTGAGTGAGTGCTCCCACTTGGCTCCATTCTCCCCAACTAGTTGTTTCAGTTTGGAGGGGTTCACTATCAGCACGCCTTGCTGAGTTTTGCCATTTTTGGGCAAGGCTAGACCCTTTCTCGCACTAAAGCACCCCACGGAGTCCTCTAGCTTGTGCGCGAACTCCGCCTGCAACCGGAACACTGAGCTGGTTTTGGTGCCCCCCGCCCCCCCCAAGGAAAAAAACGAGAAGGTGGTGCACCGGCGTACACCCCCCCCCCGCCAAAAAATGATAATAATAATAATAAACATGGAAGGTGCTGGAGGAACCTATTCTGACTTCCCTCCCTCACTGAGTGGATCGGTCAGAAGACGGGGGCTTTTGTTTACCACTTCCCCAGGCTAGTGACCTAAAATGGAAGGGAAAAGGTGCTTTCTGCTTGGGGGGCGCCTCCAAGGTTTTCCAGGGATCCTTACATTGTACACCTGAACATTGCCTTGTAAATTGTGGTTTCTGGTGGAAAAAGCCATGTGTCCCTTGGGCAAAATGTCTTTTGCTAGGAGCCCTGTTGACTGGGGAGCAAAGCCACCAAACAAACTATAACCCACGTAGGCCTTGTAAGCCTCCCATCGAAAAAAAACTGACCCTCAAGCATCTCAAGCTTGCCAGCCCACTCCAGTTCTCCCTACTCCGGATACCCTGTTTTTTCAGGGTATCATGTCGACCCCCTACTAAAAAGGAGGTATTTACCGTGGAAACGCGGGTTTTCCCAAAAATGCCCTTCAAAAAAGCGGGTATTTTGAGTAGGGGGTTTAAAGGTCCCGGAGCAATGAGCCCCTGGTTGACGAAATATCACGCAATATGGGGTGAGGCGGTGCAATTTGTGAGATACTGTCGCGTTCCACGGTGTTATTTGGTGATGCCTTAGGAGACCTTTCCCCAAAGATGCCTCCCCTTCCAAGAAAGGTGGTTCCTTATTGGGAGACACAGCCGCACGAGGTCGGCAAACGAACCCACCCAAGCCTTCTTGTGCATCTTCTCCATCATGAGGAGCTCTGCGTCGTTGTTCGCTGTGTCCAACGTGTCCTTCTAAGCTGACTCTTACAGGGCGTGGTTTGCCCCACGATGTGTAAGGTTTTTCCCGTGCTCAGCATAGGAAGTTTGCCAATCTCACAAGCACGTCACTCTTGTTTGCGGCTTACCATACTTAAGTCATAAAGGCCATGGCGCCAGAAGCTTCCCAAAGAGGTAAGATCAGCGACTGGAACCCGGAATTATGTATAGTCCTTGAGGAACACGGCGGTGATTACTCTGATCAGCGCCTCGCTTGCAATCGCCGAAGGGCTTGGAAACTCAGAGTAGCTTTCTGGTGACAAAATGGGTGCTAAAGTGACAAAGGAAACCAAAAAGCCCAAAGGGTCCCAAAATGACCAAACAAAAACCCCAATGGAAACCGAAAGGGCAACAGGCCGGCTTTCGACAGCCAAGGTGCGAAGACGATGATCGTGATGTAGACAACAAAAATTATGGCGAAGCCGGGGCTCACTTTCTCCACCACTGGCCGTGTGACCACGGGCCACGACCCTGCAAAAGTTATCTCGAACCTGGGCCAGATTGAGGCCCCTGCAAACAGTCAACTTTCGACTGGCAACTTTGCAAAAAAGAAACGAAAGAAGAAAGGACAAAATAACGAACACAAAGGGGCAAAGAGGCAACCGCGTTCGTTCCAGCCTGGTTGGCAAAAAGAAACACAAACGCAAAACTCCTTTAAATGGAACCAAAGACTAGAACCCGCGTAACCCCAGCTCTTTAGTTTTGAGCCATACCCAAATATCAAAGAGGCCAGGAAAATCTGCAGCCATGGAGCAGGCTGTAGCAAGCCCGGGCCGCGGTGCCGTAGTGATTCCAGACCCAAACGCCTCGCAGGCCGGGGGGCGGACTTCAGTGAGCGGGGGATGGCGTAAAGTCATAAATCCCTTCACCACCCAACTGAAGCAAGACCTCGTGGAGCCTGATGATTCCAAAATGGGACGTGCAATTCCCCAAAGTTCACCCCTCCAACGCCACAAACCCCAAGAGCAAACCGCCATGCTTCTGCCTCGCAACCCAACTCGTCAAAGAATGCTGTCGGCCTGCATATCTGTGCCTCATGCCACTTGGGGGTTGTTCCATATTTTGGTCGGTGCCTGAGCCACTTCCCTTTCGCCGGCATGTGGCCTTCCTTTCGCGGCCCTCTGCCCTGTCGCGGGGCCGAAGTCTCGAAAAGCTTTCCTTCGAGCCATGGCTTTCTCTGCTTCCTGGGAAGTTGAGTCGAAGAGCTAGGCCCCACTTTCAAAGCTCGCCCTAGCTCCTCCCACCGATTTGGGCGGTGAAACTTGGATTAGTGCAACTCGGTTGGCAGAGTACCCCTTCATCTCACATTCTCACTGATATCATTATTTGCAGCTTCCTTTGTTCTAGCTGGTCCTGGACCACCACCACAACGCAGAGCAGAAACAAGGCGGCACCAGCAAAACACAACCTGGACACCACCGAGCCATCGGGACGCACCAAAAACACAACTTCTTGATTCCTTTGATGGGGAAATATCCCGAGTAGCTCAAGTAGCTCAAAGCGTCCCTCTTTTCTGCGGCACCAAAGCTGCCATGATTGTAAGTCAAAGCCTAGTCCCTCACAGTGGATCCCTGGTGTTTTTTTTGGTGGTTGCATCTGAAGTGCTCTTATTTTTGCAATGAACAACCACTAGTGGTTCAACCGCACGGCAGTCCAAAGGACACACCGTGCTTGTTGATGGCACCCTTTTGAAGTTGGCTTCAAACCTGCAAGGTCAAGCAAAAAACAAAAAACAAAAAACGGCTTCCCTGCCTCCCTTTACAGCAACCCCAAAAAAAGGTGGTACTCTCAAACGCCGACACCTCGGAGCGGCGGAAAAAATCCGTCCGGAGGGCGGTCGTCGAAGTCGGCGCGTTCGTCGGCGATGAACTCCTTGAGCGAGTGGGCGAGGACCTCTGAGCCGAAACAGCGGCGCGCGCCACCCGAGGAGAAGTTTTTTGCTCGGCCCCCGGTCTCCTTAGTCACCCCTGGGGGTCCCCTGAAATCACACGATTCGCCATTGGATTCAAAGTTGATATCAGAAACTCCTCTTAAAACCTTCCACTTGCTTCGTCTGGAAAACATGCGGAAATAGGTGCAGGGATGGATTCCCTTTCAAAGCAGCGGATCCCCCAAAATAACATGATTCCTCGTGGGGGAACCAGCCCTTCTTTCGGTCCCTGGACTATTCAGGGGAATAATAAGAAAAAATATTCGCTTCAGCAAATGGAAGGCCCGCAAACGTATGGTATCTGCAGAGTGCAGTTCAACAGTATGGCAAATATGCATGGATGCATGCAAACACCGTCCGCTTTGGCAAGACCAGACTTTAAGTCAGCTGGCAAAGGTGAAGCTTTACCGGTCCCAAATGCATCCTTTCAGGGACGCTGTTCCAAGCGCCGGACCACATTGTCCCCTGGACAAAGGGTGTTTTGCTTGGTCAAAACAAAACAACAACCCTAAACTTAACGTTGACCCACAAAGTGAGCGGTGTGAGAATACCCTCGCGAACGAATGAGGGGAGCGGGTGCAGCACCCCACCTGGGGTGAGCCCTGCATAAACTGACCAGGTCTATCTGGTGACCTGGGCAGGACATTACGTTGAGATGGATGGGCACATGTCCAAACGACTTTCCTGCTGAATTGAAAGGCGAAGGCGCGAGAAACAAAGCACTTGGAAGCGTGCTTTCGAAACAGGCAAGTGCCTGAACAGGCAGGTGTCTCCTAATGGAAACCTTTGAATCCCAAAACGATATCCTTCAAATGTGCCATGTCCGCTCTTAAGACCCTGTCTGGCAAATCTCTCTTGGACCGGTCACTCCTCTTTTCCCGGAGGAGTGGCCGGCCACTTGGACCTTCTGGCCGTGTTTTGCCTATATCCGAGACTTCGACCAGTGCCGTGGTGAGCAAAAACACCAAGAGCAGCGCCATGGACCAAAACAAGCTCCGCAGGAAGGACTGGCACGCCTCGCACCGAGGCGTGAAGCTTCAAGACTTCGAGCCTCCGGCGACCCCGGATTTTCCAACCTTCAACCTGACGCCGTGAAGGGACCTCAGATGCCGAGTGGCCCTGGGAAAAAAAAAGGGCATACTTTTTTTTTTGGGGGTTGGTCGACCTTAAAGGGGAACCTTCCCAAAAACAAGTTGGAAAAAGGGCGGAATGACCGCAACCTCCTCTTTTGATTCTGTCTATCGGATGGGGTCGAAAAAGATCTAGGTTCAAATGGGCGATGGGGAAAGAGGCCCAAGGCTCATCGACCATCTCGCGCTTTGCCCCATGTTTCAACGGGTTGCTCCACGGCAAGAAACCCGGTCGGAAACCAGAAGCCGACCAACTGGACGCCCAAAAAATGGGAATCGGCCTTAGGCAAATGCCCCATTATCTACAGGGACGCCTGAATGAATGCGCAAACCAACAATGAAAAAATGTCACAGTTTCCCACGCTTACCCCACCCACCCTCAAGAAATGCGCGGTCGCCTCTGACCTCAAAACGGGGCCAATTTGCACCCCTTGTGGTAGAAGCTCCTTATGTCCATGGCTTTCTTGAGGACCTGCTGGGCTGACGAAACCTGAGATTGACTTCTACTTCTTGGCCCTTGACCAAAGCGATTGATAAGCATGGGTTTGTCTTGTCTGGTTTGTTTTTGGGGCAACCCCCCCAAAATTGTGGTTGTCCTTTTGGCTCCCTTGACGTCAGCGAAAAAACAGGTACCTCAAAAAAAGACACACCCAAATGATGAAGACACTTGCCATCCAAAACTTCCTAAACCTGAAAAATGGTGACCCGCCAGGGCCACAACAATCTTAGGAGTCCCTGTGGCTCTTCCAAAGCCATCCAAAAGAGGATTTTCTCAGTCCACTGCATTCAGGCGTCCAGTTCCTCTTTGAACATCACCAATGCCCCAAAGGAAATCCAAAAGGCCCAACAAGGCGATCTCGAAGAAGAGAACGCCAAGCTCGGGGAAGAATCCATTTTTGGGATCCTGAAACACACCATGAATCTGGCTGCACCTACGGGCGATGTTTCGGCCCCTACGTTTTTGTTCTTCTCCAGGTTTCCTCCCATTTGTCTGAGGGGTAAACTCGCGCATTGGCTGACATACGGTCAAAAGTGGGTAAGCTCATATGGCCTTCCGAGCGTTTCCTGCAGGTGTGTTTGGGTTTCCCGGCCCATCATCCTTTGAATTACGTGTGCTTTTGACAAATTAATTATTGGGGCACCACATGGAAAAAACCGCTTTTTCCGGAGGAAAAAAAAAGCGGGGTGAGGCTCCCATTGCCGGCTGTCGAGACAATAGGGACGCCATTCGGCCATTCTGGGCATTCGGCCAGGCCTGGGGCCCCAGGCGTCCCAAGCAAACCCAAAAACTCCCCGCCTTGAGCAACAGCTGCAGCCCGGGGCACAGCCTCAGAGCCCTCAGCACCCGCAGTTGGCGCAGCATGTGGGCAGTTTGGGCCAAGTTGTAGCCGCCGTCTGAGAGGATCAGAAGAAATCCCTCCACCAGGCTGGCCTCAAGCAAGTGGCATGAGTAAATCTGGACTGAAGGCCCCCGTGTAAAAGTTCAACTGTTTGCTTCCCGCATCACGATGGAGATGTCGAACTGCGAGCCCGAGACGAGGCAAGACGGAACCCCAAGCGCCTACCGCTTGAAGGGAAAGAAATAGGTACTAAAGACAGTACCATTCAACTGTTTGCTCCTTGCTGCCCGAACTCGCCAGCCCATTTAACTGCCTGCTGTTTTGTGAGGAGAACATCACTTCTCAGAAACGTGGCCCAAAGCCAAGTGGTCCAATACCCAAACCATGGCCGTGCCGAGTTCGGACCGAATAGTAAACCCTGTGCTTAAACCCACCAATACCAAGCCACTACAAAACTCCTCAAGTGTGCCCAAAAATGTGCTTCCCCCCCCCCCAACATGCATGTGTCTTGCTTTTGTTTCAAGGCCCGTTGGGGCTCAAAGAACAAAAATGCGGTGGCCACTTAAAGTCCTATCGCCCAAAAGGTGCCAAAAAGGACCGAGGAGGTCTCCAGGTTCCTGTGGTCAATTGGCTGAGCGGCCAGAAGTAGGACCAGATCGATCAGGGTCCAACAAATCTCAGTTTTGGTGGCTCAAACCTGTCGACCGTGAAAGGGCGGGGTGCTTTAACCATTACTTGATTTTTTCAGGTGAACCCCCACCACCGTCAAACATGGCCGAATGCTCGAAACCCGAGGTTTCCATCTTCCCGAGCTTCATTACGGTGAAGGCTTGGACACCTCCCAGGCATCCGCCTGCCAAAGGATGCAAAAGTCGGGGTGAAGGAGAGCATAAAGGAAAACTGACCAAAGCCCAGGGCAACAACTGACCTACGTTCACGAAAGGTCCCAAAATGGCGGCATAAATCGGCATAACTTTCGAACGCTACACCCAAAAAAAAGCGAGAGAGCTGGCAGAAGCCCTCACTTTTGTCAGTCAAAGGGCCAGCAGCTGGGAGCTACGGCGGTTGTATCCCCGCTTATACAATATAAGGGACACTCCCAAGCACAAGCTGGGATTGGCGGTATATTTTCATCATACCTCCGAAAACCATAACCTGGAGATGCCCCTGATCTTGATATGCTTGCCAGGCCGCTAAGACTAGGATTGTGTCGAACCTGAAGCACACCACGCAATGGGGGAAAAAGGGACCAACACCCCAACCAATACGGGCGTCTCTAAATGAGGCAGCCCCCAAACGCAGCACCAAAATGGGTCAAAGAGTCAGGTTGTTCAACATGGGGGTGGGAGGGGGGTGGGCGTCCCTCATCCATAAATTCCCACTACCAGGGAAAGAAGACAGCGAATTTGATAGAGTAACTAAAAAGGAGTCCTAACGCATAACACCCCCCCCCTCGCCCAACAAAAAGGGACAAACAATAAACAAAGGAAAGGAATCACATTTTGGGCTGGCTGAAGTTCAAGAAAATACCCAACCCAAACCAACAGGGAACCACAAGATTAGAATCAAATCGGACCCCGCCCAACACGCTTCAAGAAGGAACAAGTGAAAGGACACCTTGTCGGCTTTGGCTAATCAAAGTTTTTAAAGGGAACCCCACTAGAAATCGGGATGCATTTAGAGTGGAACCCTCAGAAGTGCATTCTAGTTCACCTTGCAACTGACTGGAGGTTTTTGCCGGTTTGCGCGCTGGGTACCTTTCCCATTCGGTTTCAAAGGGCCGTCAACTGTCAATCCCAACCACCGAAAATCAGAAATTCCCGGTTGAGCTGCGCTGAGGAAAGCCACCTCGAAAGGCCTGTTTGAGAATCTGAGAGGCCACTTCAACGGGTGTGGCGCAAACTACACGGCTGGGGATACGCAGGTTTCGACTTTCCCATTTACCAGAGATTCCCAAATGGAACCGGGAAACAAAAGCATGATGTACATGAATTTGCCCATCCTACAACAAATTCTGGCCATGTAGCGGAAAGGGGAACCCCGCCCACCCAAAATTGGCTGAACCTGAGGTTCTCCAGAAACTAAAGTGCTAGCTGGTACTTGAGAAAAGCCCAACTTCAGGCTGCTGTCCTGGGACCCCCAAACTCACCAAAAAACCTGGACCAAAAACAATGGTTTGGGGCTGGATTCCCCCCCAAAAAAGCTGCCAAGATCCCACACAAGAAGCAGGGCCTATTGAACGCCTGCACGCCGCCAGTATTTCCTGTCCACCAAGGCAGCTGGGAAACCAGTTGGCAAAGTTCAGGCAGAACTCCCTGCGTTCCATCGCTACGCGCGTGCACCACTCCTCAGCCATGCCAGCTGATTGGTTGGAGGAAACCAGGCGGTCAATGGGGGCTGGGAGATGTGGGAATGTCAAATCAAAGGTGGGTTGAAATCCAGTCAAAAGGCACCAACCCCGACCTGAACCCTCCCAACCAGTAAACCCAACTGTCGGCCTTTGGGCTTGATTTACCTTCTGAACCGGAAGTATGTTCCCAGCCGAACATCTGTCATTCAATGTCTTCTGGCTCCATGGATAGTCAACTCGCCTTGCTGCCGCGAAAACACGCTTCTTTTGCGATATGCCTGGCCTTGATCCTGATAGCAGTCTTACATATGCAAGAGGGTTTGAAGCAGACGGCGTTCGGGCTGAACGCTCTAGCGCTGGCCAGAACCAAGCAGGGATAAGCAAATCAATGCTCTCCTCAGGGAAGTCTTTGGCCCAGTCCGCAAGCAACAGTGCTCGAGCTGCCCCATCCATGGCAACCCCATTTTGGTCATGCCCGTCAGCGCCCTTGTTGCTCTCTTTCCTAGCTTGTACGCTCACTAGTGCGTATGATTGCTACACTGGATGAGATGGCCTCTTGAGGCCAGCTTGATACGTGAGTCCAAGGCTTGTCCCAAGTTGTCTGCGAAGAAGGGTCCTAGTCTAACCATGCGGTCAAGCAGCATCGGGGACTGACTGAATAGACGCGTGTAGATGTCTGGCGTTAAGGTGGCAGGGAGTAGGCATGGATTGATGCGCATGCCTCGACGCGTGACTAAGGCTTGATACATGCTCTTGTAGGAGATCCCCTCCTTATCATCACGGTCCAATATGACTGTCCGATTTGGGTCATTTTGAATTGCAGGGGTGCCAAAGCGGTTTGTGACATGGACGTCTGGGGCACAAAACCCTTTCATTTCGGCGCGTAGCAATGCGAAGCGCATTTCGCCGAGACCCCGCGGGATGGATGGATGCGGGAGGCTACACCGTCACGCTGCAAGTGCGTGATACTTCGTCCATCGAGAAGTTCCGGGACGACATTCTCGTCAATGAGCACCCCCGCACGAGATGGACATTGTGTTGAAGTCCATGGTGCCTTCCAGCCCCAGATCGTTCACGCAAGTTGCAAGCTCTTTTGGCCCAGCAAGGGCGTCCTTTCAGTATGTCCATGACTGCGCATAGGTCCCAAGCAATTGCGAGGGGGACCTCAGCTTCCAAGTCGCTATACTCGCTTGGAACAATGCTGGATTGCGGGAGTCCAAGGTTCCTGTGGCTTGGTCATCGACTTCGACGCTGCTCTTGGGATGGGACTGAGGCGACTGTGGCCTTGGGTGCCTTGGGCTGGTTGGGTCCTGCAGAACTCGATGCAACGGGTTTTGCCCGCGATGACCGGGCGCTTTACTGCCACTAGTCAACTGCCACACAGGTTTAACGTAGAAACCGCAATCAAGGTTGAGTCGCCTGAAAAGTGATTCGCCGAAATGGCTTCGCATGTGAAAAAACGCCGAAAGGGGAAATATAGGAAGCCCTTGTTTCCTGACCCAAGGCACTACCAGGAAGACGATGCCAATCGCAATCTCCACCACATGCCAGGCGCCCGCCTCCGGCGTTGCCTTTTTTGTTCGAGTCAAACACGCCGTTCAAGTGGGCGGGTCTCAAAATAGGTGACCCCAAAAATCGCCGGGTTCCTTTAAAGTCCCTTTAAAACCCACCAAAAAAGCGGTCCCCGATTTTGAGACACACACAAGTGGTAAAATTGGTGTGCCAAGCCTTGCTTTAGTGGAAACTCTCTTGCCCAAAGGACCCATCAACCCATCAATAAAAGGTTAACCTGTTGGGACCCCTTCTAAAAATAGACCAAACAGGGAAAACCAAAAAAGTCAAAAGGTCGGCTTTGAACAACTGAGGAACGTGTGGCTCAAAACAGGCCTTGCCCATCCTCTGGGGGTAGCATGGGCCGCAACCATGCAGTTGTCTAGTGATGTCTAGTGGCAAGCCTGAACTCGTGTTGACCCCGGATCAATCAACCCGTCCCCTTCGGACATGAAGAGGGTGTGTTTTCCGCCAAGAGTGATGAATCCTCACCAGACAAGGGACAACCCCCCCCTAGGACCCCTTGAGGGTTGGCCTCTAGGCCGAGTTTCCCTTGCAACCAGGGGTCATGCTTGGAGCAAAAAGAAATACAAAGGGGACCTTCATGGGGCACCCAGCCGCATGCGAAGAGAACCCAATTTTGGCCACCAGCTGTGTGTGTAAAACCACAAGGAGTGGAGACATGTTTCCAGTTTTTTCCTTTTTTCGGCCCCCCTGCGAGACGCAACGGCCGATCGATGCGTCCGATCGGGAGTAAGCTGCTCGCCTGGGACGGGGAAAAACCGGTGGGAGCAGGCTACGGGTGACTTGAGGATTACAGCTTGAAATATGGGCTTACCCATCAGGTTTCGGACCTGCAAATGGCAAGGCTCGGACCTTTTGGGATGGCGAATGGACCAAGCGCCCCAGGTTTTGCAGGATTTCCGTGTGCAGGACTTTTGAGCGGCAAGAAGGGGGAAACCCCCCCCCCCAAAAGAAAAAAAAGGTCAGATCCGGCGGATTCGCCACGCCAAGCTGAGACCTGGGCCTGGCCCAAAAGCTTCACCTCGGGCCTCGAAGGTCTCGGGGTCCGAAGGGTTCACCGCCCTGCCGCCCAGCTCCTGAGGCAAGTGAAGCCGCATGGCCCATCCACCCTCCCCTTTTCACAGAACCCCAGAGGGTTCCTGGTGAGGATGTTTTTCAAGGGACCCCTGTTCCAGGCGACTTGCTGGGAGGGTAATTCATGTTCAGCCTTAAGCTCTCTGACCACTTGAGGTTCACCCGGGGAAAAAAAAAACAAAACAAAAAAAACGGAGCAATCAGCGGGCTGTTTCCGGTGATGCCAACATGCATCCCGAAAAAGGGACGCCAGAAGCCCGCAAGCGGGGTCCGGGCTTTACGAAGATGGCAAGCCGAGCCCGGGACCCTCAACGAAGTTTTCCAAAGACATGGTGTCGGACCAATTCGGGGAGGGATTGCCCAAATTGGAATCCAAGCGCCAGGAATTGTGAAAATCAACCTTGTGACTTGCCCAGGTTGCATTTTGGGACTACCCCGCCCCCCAGTTCTCTATTCAGCTCCCAGCCAGGTTTGGTTGGCGCCTGGATGCGGCTGGGTTCACTCAAAGAGGCATGGAGGGGTTTCCAAGACTGCTTGGGGGTCCCAACTTGAAGCCAGGACCGCTGGATCGAACCTGAAGTCACCCAAAAGGTGATCTCCAGTGCCTTCAGGCCTTGTCACTTGGCCGGCTTTAGGGGTGACTTAAGCCACAGAAAGTGACTTGCCAGCACCCGGGTCCCGTAGCAACCGGGCTGCACCGCGCTGCTTTGTGGTTGAATGGACTTTGGAAACCTGGAAAAGCGGGTGCTTTCGGTTGGTGAAATGGGTGGTGGCCTTACTATGATTCGAGTTAGCTCCAATTATAGTATAGGCCTTACCATGATTCGAGTTAGGGCCAGCTAAAAAATGTATATTTTGTTGTTTGCTTCACTTCGAGGCAATTTGGTAAAACGTAAAAAACCAAAAAAAAAAAGTATCCTAAGTCTACCCCAGTCACGTCCAGAACTTCCGGACGAGCGAAGCTCCGGGCAAAAACAAAAAATGCGACCAGGCGGCCAGCTCTACGAAGTTGAGCAGCGAGTCCAGGAGCACCAGTACTGGAACCCGGCGGCTTTTCTCTTCACGTGGGGAAAGGAATGGTCCCCAAAACAAAAACGTACCAAACAAAAACACATGCCACCAAAAAGGGAGCCATTTGTTATTTTATTTTTTTAGTTTGTGTTTCTTCTTCTTTTTCCGAGGTCAAGATGGGGCTGAACAAAATGCACACCTTGCCTTATAGTCCTCGTGAATGATTAGATATGATGAGGTTTGGTTAAGTACCCTAGACTCACATTGCAAAGGTCGGGGAAAAAAACACATTGCCTGAATCGCCATGTAGCGGGCATACAGGTAAAACGAGCTGAGCATGAGAAGATCCAATTGTTACCTTCAGGTGTTGTGGTTTGCCAAAAAGGCGGGCGGGCAGTTCGTCGCTCGATTTTCGTCAGACATCGTGACATCGATTCTCAAACTCCCAGGCACCTGAACCCGGTGCTCAAGGTAGTGGACAGTGATCTTCCAGTTCCTCTGAAATAGGTGGTCAAGGAAACCACCCAAAAATAATTTGGAGACCCCCCCCCCCACCCCCCAAAAAAAAGGGAAGAAGACCGTCACTTCGGATTTGGGCAAGGGGGTCGAGGGGATCCATAACCCCTATCAGGCTCTCCCGATCGGCCCGATGAATCCGCCAGGATCCCAAGTCATAGGGAGGTAATGGTTGGAGGGTCTCCTTGGTGTACCTTGTGGTAGCTTCCTGGAACCATTGGAGAGAAGCCATGAGAATCTGCTTTCACCTCCGCTTGATCGCTTAGCCTAAGCCCCCGCGTTGATCTAAGCCTCCCCGCAAACCCCTTCACGGAGAACTGAAGAAAGAAGAACTCCTTTCGGGGGCCGACCCCGTGCCACTTTTTAAACACCCTGTGAATTAACCATGGTTGAAACCATAACGTTTGATGGTGTTATCATACCTTACACGTGCCAAAGAGGGCAATGCTTAAATCCAAGACCAAGCGATACATGTGCGACGGGCACAACTCCTGTGGGTCATGGTCATGCCTCCCTGAACTAATCGGAACATGTTCATTGCTTCCCTGACTAACCCTTGATCAGCGGTTGATGACCATAGGGGAAACAAAAAGGACCCACTGGGTGTCTGGCCGTACAGGGTTCGCAAAAGGATGCAGACAAATCCTCTCAACCGGCGGCTAGGCGTGTCTTAACTTCCCAACGTGGGCCGCTTAAGTTGGTCGGCAGGGAATGAGAAATGGGATGACCCTTATACACCATCCAACTTTGATTTAAGGGGACCGGGTGCATTCCCACATTTCCTGCCCATCGCACCAGCAAAGCAAATCAGCCGAAAATCAAGGGGAATCCCCCATTTCAGGAGTCGTCCCATAGCTTTGATCGCTTAACACAGCGAGCCTCTTGCCATAGCAGTTCAGAAAGCTAAAGGTGGCCCCTTTTTCTTCCCAGATTCCCACTAGCACTAAAAGCGCCAACTATTCGCTTCCCTCCGATTGGTGGTTTGGTTTGGTGCTTTGGAGTTTAAGGTGGTTTCCCATTTACCCTCTACAAAAGCCAGGGGTTCAAATCCACATCCAAGCTACCAATCCAAATCACCAACTAAGGGCTACCTGAGGATTTTGTTGATCTGCTTCTATCCCACACTTGATTCCCCAAAGGGCATGGGAAATTTGGTGTCCCGAGCCCCCTGGTACACCCCAAAGAACAAAACGAAGCCCCAAATAACAAATGCTCCAAACATAGGTACCCTGCCTCCGAACACGGCACGTGACAGACTCTGTCGGGTCCCTCCAAACCTGCCTCGCATGCAACCAACCAACTCCCCTCCCCCCCAACCAGTACTCGGTGGGCCCCACAAAACCGCATCGCAGCAAAGCAAAACGCCGCCTGCGGCCGCGTAGTCCAGGTGCTTCCGCAGCTTCTGCCGGGTCTGCCGCAGGTCCGCTTCCCTGAGGCGACGGCTCGGCAGAAAATTGACAAGGGGGGGGGGAAAAAATGGTAAAAGTAGGGGGCCTGGGGGGTGGTCTGTTGAGGGTTGCCTGTTCTGGTTTTTATGTTCATCTCAAATCTGTGTTCCCCCTTATTCGTTTTTAAAAGAGGGCTTTTAGGGAGCTTATTTATCGTTTTCGTTAAGGTAATCATTTTGGTAATTGCCCCCCTTGTTCATTGTTGGGCTGGGGGCCGACATTTTTTTCATTTGAAAGAGTTGACCCTTTTAGTAGTTATCAAGTTCTGGGGTGTTGGCGGTGCATTTGTTTTGTTAGTGTTTTTCTCACTAATTTTCATTTATAGGTTAAAAGTTCAGTATAATTATAACATATAAGATTTTACATGTTATTATTATATTATGATTATAATTTCAGTTCAGGATAATAATCTAATTGGTTTGTCTTACTTCTTTCATACATCATTTTAAAAATAATATTAACATCTCTCACTGTATTCTGAACATTAAACTTTTTACTTTCAATAAATAATTTGATATTTTCTTTAACATCTTCTCCTTTCTCTTGACTATAACCCAACATCCATAATATATCATCAATCATTTCATATTTTCTTACTGATTTTAAGAAACTGTTTAACACAATCGTAAGGTGGTATTTTATTTACAGTTAGAAATATTAAAATATCATCTTCTACATTTCTATTATGTATTCTTTTTATTCCCAACAGACATTTGATTAAAAATTGATTATCTCTCCAAGTTTTACAATTTTTACATATGTCTTCTTCACCATCCATTGAATAATTAATAATATTATTCACTATTTCATTAGGTAAACTCAATTTATACAATTCCATATTTTCTTTTTTGAAGTGACAACAATCATAGCATTTTTTATTGATATAATTATTGATTCCATCACCGTTCATTTTCCTTTTAATATATAAGGTAATATTTCTTTAAGTAGTTTTGGCTAGGGGTTATGGTTTAGTTATGAATTACACAGGTTCATCAACCATTAGTTTAAACCTTATGTTTTGTACTCCTTCAAAATTCATTCTACTTCTTGCATCTTCCATACGACTGTCTATTGTTTGATGCGCCACTCTCATTACATCAGCTATATTATCTATGGTTATATTATCTACAACATCATCACTACGAAAATAAAAACTAAAAGTACTAAACTTATTGTCTTCATAATAATTGAAATGATGAAACCTTACAAACATATTTACCTCAACTATTATAACTTCTCCATAACTGTTATCGGTTTCAATGCCATCTAACAAACAACCTAAGTTTTCATTTTCATTAAAACTATATCTTCAATGCTTTTAATGCTTAAAGGTTTATTTCTTGAAATGTAATACTCAATTACGTGTCTCTTTATATCATCACCACCTACAACAGTTCGACGCTTTGTCTTTCTTTTTGTTTCTGTTCTGTTTATTTTATATTGTTGTTGTATTCTCTTTAATGTCTTAATATGATTATGTTTTATTTTCAAATACTCAGGTTCCCCTAATTTATATGAAATGATACCTTTTAATACATCAGCAGGTAAGCTAGCACAATTCTCAACCATAAAATTATTATCTGACATTTTACCCCCACTCATTTTTCTCTTAATATATAAGGTTTTTTCTCTTTAAGTAGTTTTGGCTAGGGGTTGCTGGTCGGCTGGTCTGGGTTTCAGGTTTAATTTAAATGTCTTAACCTTCTTGTTAGATTATAAAAACTAGGTTTAATCATATTATAATTGAATAATATCATTAAACTAAATCACTCACGCTTTCCATTCACCTATTCCATCCCACCAGAATTCAATAATTCGCATCTGTCCATCTACTAGACTGTCTTCTTTGTTTAGTTTCCGTATCGCTCCTGATAAGATATAGTGGTTAATAATCATTGCATTAAACTTTCCATCACGGTTTAACTTTTTACCACAGTCTTTTATGATGTCTTCATCTGTTAGGTTTTCATACATTTCTTTCATGATGTCAAACCTAACAAATGAGTATATCGTCATCAAGTTTAATCCGCTATTATCCCTAAACCTGCTAATGACATCATTCCAGAATTCTTCGTTTTCATCAACTGGTGGCAAAGGGTGTCTTTTGATGAAATCCTTTATTTTGTTTAACTCTTCATCTAATTCCTTTTTATAACTGTCATTATCATCATCTTCTTCGTCTGATAGCACCAAGTTTGATAAGTCAGCAATCACTCCGACATTTTCTAAATTCAAGTCCTCTAATCTTATTTCAGTCATATTTTCACTTAATATAATAAGTTAATATTTCTTTAAGTAGTTTTTTATTTTATGTTAAGGGGTGGGGCTTTATATTGAAAAAAATATTTTCTAACAATTTAATATAATGGCGAGATTAACAAAAGACCAAATAATCAGCAACATCTATTACGACTTAGACGAGGGTTTCGGAAGCACACAAGCGACACACAAGAAGGCAAAGGAAGAAGACCCAACAATAACATTAGACGATGTAAAGTCTTTCTTAAAGAAACAACCAAATAAACAAATCAAAAATTATAGAGGTACTAATTCCTATACCGCTCCATTCGCACGATATGAATATCAAATAGACATAATGCATATGTCACCTTTAGCAAAAGACAAGAACGTTCCACAGTATGCTTTAGTCGTGATTGACATCTTCAGTAAATTAGCAGATGTAATACCGATGGAGGAAAGAGACGGAGAGCACGTTTTGAAGGCGTTGAGAGCAAGCTTTAAAAAGATGGGTTATCCGATGTCCGTGTATTCTGATGACGACGGAGCGTTTGCAACTAAAAATCAAGTTCAGGATTTCTTCAACAGTGAAGGAATAAACCACATCGTCACGAAGACCCACGCAAATGTGGCCGAGCGTTTTATTAGAACGATGAAAAACAAAATTCACGATAGAGTTAGGTTTAACAACATGAAATGGACCGACGCCCTAACGCCGGCATTGAAACAGTATAACAGCACATCACACTCATCAACAAGGATGACACCGTCTGAAGCACACAAGGACGACAATGAAATAAATGTAAAGGTCAATCTTAAACTACGAGAAAAAAACAAAAGAAAGTATCCCAGAATAGTGGAGAACGACAAGGTAAAAGTGTTTCAAAAGAAAAGGGGTAATTACACCGACAGAAAGGAGTATAACTCTAAATGGTCTAATAAAATATTCAATATCGATAAAATTGAATATGATATTATGGGTAATAAAACTTACAAAGTAGCAGGAATAAACAAACCGCTTTTGAGACACGAAATTTTGTTGGTTAATGATTAAACGTATTTCTTGGTGTCTTCTTTATACTTGACTTGATAGTAATCCAGACTTGATTGTTTAGGTTCTTTTATGATTTTTTCATTCAGTTTTTTAACATAAATGTTTCGTTTATTTTTGTATTCGCTACTGTCTCTATCTACTTCTTTTGCTTGATAATTGTTATTGTTATCATATGTAGGTTTAATATTCAAGCTCTTTAAGATTTTCAGTATGTTTTCATTTTGCTCCAACACTTTTTCTAATCTTGGAAACAACAACTCTAAACTACTGTCAATGTTCGCTAAATGTTCCTCCATATATACTAAATTATAAAACTAAACTTTTAAAACTAAATGTTGCAATTATGTTAAATCTACTCTTTAAATACTAATTTTTCATTATTTGTTTAACAGTTTCCTGAGTTTCCTTATCACCATTATCTGATGGAGTAACTCCCCTCCCAAATCGTATAGCAATATTATGAACATCTGTTTCTAAGTTTATACTGTCTTTAGTTTTATCAATATTCATTTTCTTATCATTTCTACTTATTTTGAAACTTGTCGGAATACACGAACATTTACAGTTTCCTTTCTTTTGTATTTCTAATTCATTTTTCATTTCTAAGATTTTTTTACACATTGGACAAGCAAACTCAATAACTGATGTTTCTTTAACAATTTCTTCTTTTTCTTCATCAGTTGAAGAAACAACTGATTCTGTCTTATTCTTTTTCTTTCTCCCCATCTATATTAATATTTATATTTTTAATATATTGTATCACAAACTTAATTAATTCTAAAACAAAATAGCATACTTTTTTTAAATCTATTATCAGTTAGTATTACTTGTTCTATATTTTCTACTTTATCTATTATATCAATATAATCCGAATAACTTCTATTCATATAAAATAATAAATATAAAATATTTTCTAAATAACTTTAATATTATTTTATTATGTCTGATGTTCCAATAATAAAACCAATAAATATAACTGATTACGATTTCAAACAATCTAAATATGAACATGTGCCAAAACTACCTTTTCGCTCAATTGTTGTTGCTTCATCAACGGGTGGCAAAACAGTTTTAATTCAAAACCTTATCCTAAATGTTTATAGGGACTGCTTCGCCCGTATATTCATTTTTAGCCCGTCGGTTCATAATGACCCTACCTTCGTTGAAGTCAAGAAATATCAAAAAGATAATATGAAGGTTGATGATGAAAAAGAAAAGTTATATTATGACACCTACCAACCTGAAGAACTGGAAGAAATAATTAACACACAAAGAAAGATAATTCATTATATGAAAGAACAGAAGATGAAGAAACTACATTCAATTTTAATCATAGTTGATGATTTTGCAGACGACCCTAAATTTGTTAGATATAGTAAGTTACTTCATGGACTGGCAACGAGAGGCAGGCACGACGCCATTAGTTTTTGTTTAAGCGTTCAAAAATATCGTGTCCTAGCACCAATCATTAGGTTGAATTCTAGTTCGTTGTATATCTTCAAGTTAAAGAATGTATCAGAGTTAATGTCATTCATTGAGGAAAACTCCGCCATCGTTGATAAAGAGCAACTGTTAAATATGTATCATAAAGCGGTAGATGATAAGCCCTACTCCTTCTTTTATGTTAATATGAATTCCAAAGATGTTAATAATATGTTTTATGTTAGATTTGAAAAAGCATTTAAAATAA